GGCCTACGCGTGCAATGCATTTTGCATTATGCAATTTAATCAGCCTGAAAGTAAATATCCGGAGGCTTTTTTTTTTCTTTTCATTTATAGATTTTAAGAGCTGCTATGCTAATAAGTTCTGGGTTGAGTATAATTTTGTCACATATTGACTGGACTAGATTTGATTCGTTGTGAACGCCAATGGTAAGCCGCGAAATTCCGAAGATAAAGAATTGAGTATTTATGTATTGAGGCAATAAGACGATGGGTTTGATAAAACATAATTATTGAGTTGCTATGTTCAACACTGCACCTCCCTTAACAAGTACAACTGAAACGAGGCACCCTCTAAACTCGACTTTGTTTATCATACATGAATTTTAAAAAAAAACCAAAAGAAACAACAAAATATTATTTTGATATCACAAAAGTAAGTCCTACAATTTATTGAACAAACATAATAATTATTATAAAACTAAATGAACATACTGTGCGTACAATTTGTAATAACGTTCTTAAAAATTACTTACTTGTTCAAACCTAAGTGTTAGTCAACTTAAAACAAAGAATCATCTATAAAAGCTTCAGTAAAATAATGAGTGACATATTATTGTACAGTCAGTCCACAGATAAAAGTAAAACAAAATGGTCTATGCCCATGAACGTAGAGCAATGCTAATGAACTCTATACAATCATTAAAATAAATTTCATAATTAAAGTAAATATAATCATATGTATTATTGTCTGCGTAATATCATCATTAACATCATATTATGTCTAATAATCAATATCATTTTGTTTATTATTATCGTTATCATGGAGATTGGCCTTGGCTACCATCTCATATGAGACAAATTATTAATTACTATGAATCTTTATTTCATAACAGCACCATATTACCATTATTGATATTATTATTATTATTCATTTCATATTCCGAATATATTTATAAAGAATAAAAATAGACGCAATATAAGCCTAAACTTTGTGTAGGCTTTATTTTTATTAAATCTACGAAACTACGCATACTTGGTAGTCTATGGACGTAATTACTTTATTATTTTCTCGGTGCTGTGATCCACCTCTACTCACGTAATTTTCAAAAGCAAGAAATTTTCTAGATGAAAACTGTATCAATTGTCAAAGATCCAATATAATGTCGATAACATCATTCTACTTTGAAAAAAACAAATCTCATTCATTCCTCGCCATCACAGAGTCAGACTCAGGGGGACACTTTATTTCATCTCTACTCAGCGGCGAATGAATCGTCGAATATTATACACGTTTCTTGGGCGGATGCAGGATTTGGTCGGTAGGGGGTACCCGGAATATTTACATGCTTATTTCTACCATACTTGTGTTTAAAAGTGAAAATTTCTGGACATTGGTCATTAATGACAAGGTATTTTTAAAAAGCAAAATTAATTTGCTATACTAATATATTATGTAAAAGTTTAATTGCATTAGTAGTGGTAACTAAATGTCTATTTACATCCAGAAGTGGTTGAATTTCGTTGATGACGTCTTCGCGATTGCAAGGCGTGACACTTTTTATGTCGCTATAGAAACTTGAGACAACTTGGCGATACCGAGGAATCTCATTCACAAACATTTGCCGATGACTGAAAGAATTCTAAAGTTAGAATTAATAAATGAAAAATAAAAAAGAATAGAAATACAATATCTGTCTCTTATACACATCTATACTACTCAGCGGTGAATGAATCGTCAAATATTATACTGTACACGTTTCTTGGGCGGATGCAGGATTTGGTCGGTAGGGGGTGCGTGAGAGTCGACACCACCAAAGCCCCAACATGGTAGGGGATGAGGTGCGAACATTTTTGAGAATAATAATGAACATCTAGGTACCCGGAAATTTCCCCCTCATACCTTTAGAATCTTACCGGTAACTCAACAATATAATACAACAATTAGTTTTCTTAATACATATTTAGGGGGCTGCGATCGCACCGTCTGCACTCCACCCCCCCACCCATAACTTTGCATCCGCCCCAGCGTTTCTCTTCTCCAAAATTGTACAAAACTTTATCACAAACATCAAGAGGAATATGTTCCAAAATTCGTTGAATGTTCACAAACCCGCAATATTTATATGCTTAGTTCAACTACTATACTTGTGTTTAAAATTAAAAATTTCTGGACATTGGTCATTATTGACAAGGTATTCTATAAAAGCAAAATCAATTTGCTATACTACTATATGAAAAAGTTAACTTGCATAATAATTAGTAGTGGTAACTAAATGTCTATTTACATCCAGAAGGGGTTGAATTTCGTTAATGAAGTCTTCGCGATTGCAAGGCGTGACGACTGAAAGTCGGACTCAGGCACACTTTATTTCATCTCTACTCAGCGGCGAATGAATCGTCGTTTAGTAGGCCTATTTACATATTCCGGTGCTGTCTTTTTCTTGGATAAAGCCATAGCAACTTGTTCCAGTTTCCTCATCGTAGCATCTGTCCTACAATTTTCATAATCGAAGAGGGCGTTCTTCACCTTGAAAAAAGAGAAGTAATAGCATTAACAAAGCAGTAGGATAACGATATTGTAATCAAAGTAGGCTAAATTTATGACAAAACGCCGACATTCCAAGTGCACATAGCTATATTTTAAGAATCTTGATTTATAAATGAATTATCTTTTTATTTTTATTTTGTAGTTATTATTGTTCTTTCTTTGTAGGATATCAAAACTTAAAGCTTGCTTGTAATTGATGCCTTTTCAATCAATCTTTGAATTGAGAATTGTAAAAATATATATACATATGATAAAGGAAATTGATTAAATAAAAATTTATTGTGAATATATGTCAAAGGTGCAGGCATGAACAAAAACAATCGTAATTATGTTTTTTGTCTGCAATTTTACAGATTGTATTGTAATACTATGGGATTTTATGAAGGGTATTACAACGTAAATCTTAATGCGTCAAGAAAGAATCATTCAAAAACTCTTGTATGACAGATGTCATTATACAACTATCAGAGATAGCATGTGTTACTTTGACCTTTATTAAAGCAACCTTATCTCCTATTTTTTTAAAAATCATATTGTAATCATCCATAGCAATATTAAAGTCCATATTCTCAGAATAGATACTGAAAGTCCAGGAAAGGTTTATAAGAGTCAACAGATTTATGTAGAACTTAACCTTCTCTCACTTTATAAAAGGTTTATCAGGATTTACACATTTTGATTTTTGTTTATTAGAAGATCAAATAATACAATGTTGATTTACACAATTATTTACAATGCAGCCAGGACTGTTTGTATTGACAAGGTCCAAAGTCTAGTCATGTTTATGTGAGTTAAACACCGGGGTTAAACAAACTTAAAACAGTGTAGGAGATAATACAAAACGAAGTAAACTTTGTTTTGGTTTGAAGTGACAAAGCTGTAATAGTTTCTTACCATATCAACGTGTGGATCAATGAAAGAATATAAATTCTCCAGCACACTAGACTTTTTAAACAGTGCTTTGAATGGCTGCAAAGACAAACGACTGCTTTTTAAATTCAAACGCGTATACTAAATTATGCCAATACACAAATTAGAAATAGTAATAATAAATAAAATAAACCAATATATTATTATTTTTAATTTGTTTAAAGAAAAAAAATAAGAAAATGAACAAAAGTACAATAGCACCTGTAGGTATACCAAAAGTAAACAATTCAGACAATTGCACACTGTCTGGCTTTCTCAACTATCAGTACATAATACAACACAAACAAACCCAGAAAAAAATATCCTAAAATTCTGTGCTTTGATAATACGTTTCTGTGGCGCATGAAGAATTTGAAGGTAGGGGGTGCGTGGGAGTCGACACCACCACAACCCCAACATGTTAGGGGCTGAGGCGCGAACATTTTGAGAATATGAATATTTAGGTGTCCGGAAATTGCACTCTCATACCTTTAAAATCTTACCGGTAATTCATATCAACAATACAATACAACAATAGTTTTCTTAATACATATAAGGGGGCTGCGATCGCACTGTCTGCACTCCCCACCCCCACTCCAACTCTGCATACGCCCCAGCGTTTTAAATCTCTTCTAGCCCTCCAAAATTGTACAAAACTTTATCACAAACATCACAAGGAATATGTTAACAAATTCATGGAATGTTCACAAACCCGGAATATTTACATGCTTATTTCTACCATACTTGTGTTTAAAAGTGAAAATTTCTGGACATTGGTCATTAATGACAAGGTATTCTAAAAAAGAAACAATTTGCTATACTAATATATGAAAAAGTTAAATTGCATAATAATTAGTAGTGGTAACTACATCCAGAAGGGTTTGAATTTTGTTAATGAAGTCTTCGCGATTGCAAGGCGTGACACCTTTTATGTCGCTATAGAAACTTAAAACAACTTGGCGATACTGAGGAATCTCATTCACAAACATTTGCCGATGATTGAAAGTCAGACTCAGGTACACTTTATTTCATTAATAAAAAAGAATAGAAATACAATATGGTGATAACATACATTTCAGTAAATAACTATGCAAACAAACAAAATATAATCAATTTCACTGATAACCTGAATGATACCGAATGATATATTTTAAACAAGAAAATAAATCCACACGTAAATTTGGCCCAATGAATTGATTAATGTCCTTTAGAATAAAAAAAGAATAGGACCTATTTTCAGTTCAACGTTAGATGATGATAAAAACCGGTTCCTCTCGATTTACCTCGTTGAAACTAAAGAGCTCCGTCGACCAAGAGTCTTGAAACACCTTTGAAATGACATCCATAGTGACGCCAATAGGTGGCGTTTGCTGGATATCACATACGAAGGCAGGGTGGGTGAGGATTCGAACACAAAACATCTCAGCAAAGCTAAAGAATAAAACAAATGTTCCATTAATTCCTGTCGAGCCTTGAAAATGTTATCAACATCTTTCAAATCGAATGGTGTAACTTGTTTCTAGTCTAACACAGTTGTGGTTTATAAAAGCATAACTTTTCACCGGCAGATTATCAATTCATCATTAACGTCGTTATTGCCATTCTCAGAGTCAACATTATTATGAAGGTAAAGAATTTCGAATAGCGCATAATACTAGGTCTCTATGCACGTTAAATAAAAGACACAAATAAGATGAAGAGACGAGACAATAAAAATGGAACAACAAAAACCATCAACAAATAAGAAAAATAATCAGATGAGGATAAGAAAAGATTTTTTTATAGTCTGGCCTTAATAGGGAAGTGATGGAGATTCCCGTGTATTAGGGGGAAGAGAGTTGCCACTACCATCATCGCCACCATAATCTTCACCATCATCTTAACATAATTAATAGTAGCAGCACCATTATCATCAACACCATTATCACCAGTATTATTTTCATCATCATCATCATCATCATGATTATTACCATTCGTCATCATCGCGATCATAATCATTATCATCAGCATCATCATCAGCATCATCATCATATTATGTTATTATTATTATTATTATTATTATTAGTTATATTAGTCATCGTACCTGTTGTTTTTCCATATTTTCAAATCATTGACGCTAATATCACGTGCAGAAGCCTCACTGTCCAAAATGTCAAAGATAAATTTAACGCCGCATAGCAAATGATGCTTTTGGGCAGATTGGCTGAAGATTGCCTCAAAGAGTGAATTAACACACTCCTGGTAAACTTTCTGTATTTTGTATCAATACATAAAATGAAAACAAATACAATCAAAATATATTTGGTACTGTATAGCTATGCTTATCTGGCGCGGATACAAAGTGGGGGGTACATACGGTGCGATCGCACCCCTAAATTAGAAAAATAATTTTTGTGTTGTATTCTTGAAATATTAATTTTATCATTATGAAAATAGTAATGTTAAGTTTTTTAAAAGTATGAGAGTGCAATTTCTCTCAAAATGTTCACACCTTAGCCCCAACCATTTAAGTAGTGTTACCCTAAGAGAGGGCGGCTGAGTTTAAGATGAACCGGGGTCAACAAATGGCGACGAGGGTACCCAAATACTGGTTTTCGGTAATGGCATTAAGAAAATGTTATGAATTGTTTTTCTATTGATTGTTTTTTTTAAATTTAAATATCTTATTACATAATTCGCACTTAGATAATAGGCATATCAATCAATCAATTCTTTATTCATCAATTCATCAATAATTCCATAAACACACATGCAAGGATAATAAATATGATGAAATACCTCCAAGAAACTCCAGGGAACTTGTAAATAGGAGGCAAATTAAACTAATGCTTTTAATTGTGATACATCTAAAGGGAGAAAAGAGCTCCCCTAAAAAAATATAAAAAAAACAAACAAACAAAAACAAACACAAAAAACAAAAGCCAACCTAACAGAAAAAAAATTATTTCTGTAAATCAGAAATATGCCCTACCTTAGTTTCGGTTAATCTAGCAAGGTCAGATTTATCAACTTTATTCTTTACTTCTATGTATGCATCCTCTTGAAGGTCCAACTATAAGATAATGCTAAAATTACTCTAATACCCTCCTAAGTTTATTTATATGTATTGATACAATTAAATGAAATACTAAAATGATATGTGACACATTGGTAATAAAACCCACTTTTGGAATATTCGTTTATGCCAACAATTGTATTGTTAGTTAGTTGACATCAGAGATGTGATACTCAACTATACGGTGGTGTACAATATATAATGGTTAAAAAAGTATACGGTGTCACTGTTGATATGCTTTATCATGCATTCCGTATTAATCATAAATGAATTTACGTTATGTTAAATAATTATAATCAAACCTTCTGGATAGCATTAGCATGATGCAAGTTTGTTAAGACCTTTTAAGTAAAATACAATAAAACTTACAATGTGATAAACACCATCTCCTTCGTCTAATTCTTCGTATGTATGTTCATCTATTAAAATAGATGTTTCGTAAGCATGTTCATCTATTAAAATAGAAGTTAAACTACTAAGGTAAATATCCTATTTGGTTGAACCTAAACATTGTCACTAAACATACCACTTGTCTCAATTTCACCACAGCATTTATATTTTGATTTATTCATTTGAGGCATTACGTATAAATATATATACTGTCTCTTATACACATCTAGATGTGTATAAGAGACAGTATATATACATAACGAAAGAAAACAGGAAACGGAGTAGACTTGAAGAAAACTATCCTGTTCCTGTTTTCTTTCTTATTATTCATATGAACACACATGGACTCCTCTTCATGCTTTCTATATATACACCGTGAGTGGATTTCCCGTACGATTAAAAATCATAACGGTACTGGGTTGGGTCTGCAGGAGTTTCGAACAGGTCATTCCATTCATAGAAGAAGCCTTTTGATGGAGAAAGTGTACCTATTAGCAAAGTTTTGCCCAGATCAAAACTAACTCCGGCTATATAAAATTGATTATAAGATTGAAAAATATTAATCTTATTATTGTAGTAGTGATAGATACTATATACACGTTTAAATTATTGTTATTTATTTGCTATGTCATTATAAAGTATTTATATTTAAACTTAATGTATTGTTTAGGTATGAATTACTATATCCATGTAAAATTAATCTTATCAATTAAAATTGTATATTTTAAATAATACATCGTGAGTGGATTTCCCGTACGATTAAAAATCATAACGGTTCTGCCGTTTGATGGAGAAAGTGTACCTATTAGCAAAGGTTTGCCCATATCGAAACTAACTCTGGCTATATAAAATTGATTATAAGATTGAAAAATTTTAATTTTATTATTGTAGGAGTGATAGATACTTTGTACACGTTTAAATTATTGTTATTTATTTGTTATGTCATTATACAGTATTTACATTTAAACTTAATGTATTGTTTAGGTATGAATTACTATATCCATGTAAAATTAATCTTATCAATTACAATTGTATATTTTAAATAACATAGTAGGCATAGCCGAGGTCTAGACTAGGATAGGTCTAAACGAGTGACTATATCATGTGAGTGTATAACATTATGGAAAATATGAATAAAACGTAAACTTGTGAAAGAATAAAGGAAGAAAGAAGAAAAGGAAAGAGATTTGGAGCGGCTGAAATTATTTCCGAAAAATACAATAGTAGTCAATATAAGGCAAAGGCAAATTAATGGGATAACCAGTATCTCATATAATCGCAGACATATATATGGAAAACTTTAAATACATGGCATTAACCACGACACCACTTCCCCCAGAGTTCTGGTATAGATATGTGGATGAACCATTTACGAAATTACATCGATGCCGAATTGAAGAATTTATGGACCACATTAACAGCATCGATCCTGACATTCAATTTACTATGGAACAGGAAGAAGTCATGAAACTTCCGTTTTTGGACACATACACACATGTTAACGCAGAAACTTCTACAAAATTCACGATTTTCAGAAAACCAACACACACTGACCAATATCTAAATTTTCAAACGAACCATCATCTAGACCACAAGAGATCAGTGCTACATTCTTTATTATACAGAGTAGAGAACAGGACCCAGCCCTATTTAAAAAAAAAACAGTGCGGGGTCGTGTACGAAATTAAATGTGATACGTGCGGAGAAACGTATATCGGAGAAACCGCAATCATTAGGCATACGTGTCAAGGAACATTTAAATCAACGTGTCGAAATACTTTCAGCGGTAGCGGAACATTGTAAAATCACTGGTCACAACATTAATTTGAATAAAATCAAAGTACTAACTAAAGAGACCAATTCATTCAAAAGGAAAATAAAAGAAGCTACGGAAATTAAAATGAGAACGCCACCATTAAAACAAGATTGCGGATATGCATGATATACAACCCATATACAATAGCCTGCTACGTCATCACACGAACATCAATCCTGACGTGTCAGTTAACCGCCAGATTCAAACGGCTGACGAAGATGACATGTCATCGAAAGCTCCCAAAAACTAAATTACAACTCTGAATGGTAACTTACACTCTTTTTCTTATATATATGTTATGGGTATATACTGTTATTGGCTGTACTATGTATGAAATCACTATATCAACTCAAATATTTATGCCTACCAGGTTCTGTGTCTGTTGGT